AGGAGGAGATCTTAATGGGCATGTAGGTACTACAAGCGTAGATTTCGAGGCAGTTCATGAAGGTTTTAGGTATGGTAATAGGAATCAGGAGGGAGAGAAAGTTCTGGACTTCGCGGTAGCTTTTGACCTGATGATAGCCAACACTTTCTTTAGAAAGAGAGAATCTCATCTAGTGACCTTCAGTAGCGAACAACACTCTAGCCAGATTGACTTTGTCCTCACAAGAAAAAAGGACAAACGAGCATGCTTGGGTTGCAAGGTGATACCAGGGGAGTGTGTTGTTTCTCAACATAAGCTTTTGGTGGTAGACTTTCATTTTTAGGTGCATGCCCGTAAGGATAAACAAGCTAAGATTAAAAAAATAAAGTGGTGGAAACTGAAAGGGAAGACGTCAGAGGTATTCAGGGAAATGGTTATCAAAGAGGGCTCTTGGAAGAAAGAAGAGGACATAAACAACATGTGGGAGAAGATGGCAACCAACATTCGGAAGGTGGCCTCAGAGGTGTGTGGAGTAACCAAAGGAAGTGGAGGCGAGGCTAAAGATACTTGGTGGTGGAACGAGGAAGTCCAAAGGGCTATTAAGGAGAAGAAAGAATGCTATAGACGCTTGTACCATGACAGGAGTGTGGACAACATAGAAAAGTACAAGGTGGCAAAGAAGACTGCAAAGCGAGCTGTAAGTGTGGCAAATGGTAGAGCGTACGAGGATCTTTACCAACTTTTGAGTACGAAGAAAGGAGAGGACATTTATAGGATGGCTAGGGTTCGTGAGAAAAAGACAAGGGACTTCAACCAAGTTAAGTGCATTAAGGATGAAAGGGAGCATCTCTTGGTGAAGGAGGATGAGATCCAACATCGATGGCAAGAGTATTTTGACAAATTGTTCAATGGTGAGAATACAGACACAACCTTTTAGTTGGATGACTCTTTTGATGACACCAATAGGCGCTTTGTGCGGAGAATCCAAGAATATGAGGTCAGAGAGGTGTTGAAAAGGATGAAAGAAGGTAAGGTGATGGGACCGGATGGTATCCCAATTGAGGTGTGGAGATCCCGGAAGGTCAACCATGGAAGTCATTTTCTTAATAAGACAAGTTATGGAGCGGTATAGGCAGAAGAAGAAAGACCTACACATGATTTTTATTGACTTGGAGAAGGCTTATGATAAAATATCAAGGAATGTTATGTGGTGGGCTTTGAACAAACATAAAGTCCCAACGAAGTACGTCGGGCTTATTAAGGACATGTACAATAATGTTGCGACTAGAGTTCGAACAAGTGATGGAGACACGGATGACTTTCCGTTTAGGATAGGACTACATCAAGGGTCAGCTTGGAGCCCATATCTGTTTGCCTTAGTGATGGATGAGTTCACAAGGGACATACAAGGGGACATTCCTTGGTGTATGCTTTTCGCGGACGATGTAGTGCTAGTTGATGAAAGCCGGATAGGAGTGAATCAGAAACTGGAATTATGGCGGGAGACTTTGGAGTCCAAAGATTTTAGACTCAGTAGAACTAAAACTGGGTATATGAGATGTGACTTCGGCACTACTACTCGGGAGGAGGAATATATTAGTTTGAAAGGTCAAGTAGTGCCTAGGAAGGATACCTTTCGATATTTATGATCAATGCTATAGAGAGACGGGGATATTGATGAAGATGTTAGCCATAGAATCAAAGTAGGGTGGATGAAGTAGCGATAAGCATCTGGTGTCCTATGTGACAAAAGGGTACCACAGAAGCTAAAAGGCAAGTTTTATAGGATGGCTATTAGACCTGCTATGTTGTATGGTGCAGAATGTTGGCTTACGAAAAGACGTCGTATTCAACAGATAAGTGTCGCGGAAATACGTATGTTGCGTTGGATTTACGGTCATACAAGAAGGGATCGAGTTCGGAACGATGATATACGTAATAGATTAGGGGTAGCACCAATTGAAGAAAAGCTTGTCCAACACCGGTTGAGATGGTTTGGACATGTCCAACGGAGACCTCAAGAGGCACCGGTGTGTAGTGGAATCCTAAGTCAGGATAGTAACGTGAAGAGAGGCAGAGGAAGACCGAAGTTGACTTGGGTAGAGGCAATAAAAGGAGTCTTGAAAGGATGGAATATACCCAAAGACTTAGCCTTAGATAGGAGTGCTTGGAAGATAGCTATTCACGTGCCTGAACCTTGATTGCTTCTGTTGGGTTTCAACTCTAGTCTACCCCAACTTGTTTGGGACTTAAAAGCTTTGTTGTTGTTGTTCTTGTTGTAATCATGCTCTATATTGTGATGTCTAGCTTGGAGTTCTTTTAATCTTATATGTTCTTCTATTGGTGTTTATTTCTTAGTAGATGATCTCATTATTTGTTACAATCAATCTATGTTGCTGGCACAAACCAAGTAGGAGTTCAACTGATTACACTAAAAAAATATGTCACGTAACCACCTCATACTCGATCATATTTAATATAAACACTAGTGTCACCTGTACATGCATGTTCACATATATGCACACTTATGCACGCATGCACACCCGGCCCATCCCTTGTTAGTATAGATCTTAAGATTGACAAAGGCACCACATATGACTTGATGTTGACATTTTAAAAATGTTTTTGTTAACTTATTTTCACATCATTTTTGTGCTAATAGTTCAAATCTCACCGAATTTGAATGTTTGTAGCCGGTGGGATATGTCTGTATCAACATAGGCTAACTAGAATAGATAGTGAGATTATCTACTAGCAAATAAACACCAAAAGAAGGCCATGCAAGATTCAAATAAATCCTAGCTAGGACCATAAGATACAACATGATTTTAGCAAAAAAAAAAATGAAACTAGTTCCATATTTTATCCCAAGTTAAAACAGGTTTTGTATATGTTTTCTAAGACTAGATCAGATTTTAGAAAATATTTGAATTTTAAAACTGTAGCTATGAATTAATTACAGAAAAACATACACTAATTAGTCCACCATAAAAATTTCACCACAATTGGACCATAGAAACTGCAGCTATGAATTAATTATAGAAAATCATAAATCTAAGACTATAGTAAAAAATTTATAATAAAGAATACCATATTATATATTCACTGTATAGATCTCCTCGTATGGAGTTCAACGGAATTGGATTTTCTATTTTATGATTTTTCTATAATTTACTATAATTTTTTCAAAGATTCAGCCAAAATAAATAAAAAGGAAAAAGATAAAACCGCCTTTGAAAACCGCTTATAACCGGTCAGGGAGGTAAAACGAATGGTTTTAAAAGTTTAGGGAGGTGGTTTACCTGATTTTAGAGTTCAGGGAGGAAAAACAAACTTTCGTAAAAGTTAAGGAAGGTACTATGGATTTTTTCCCATGCATTTTTGTTTTCCTTTGGAGCACCGTTACTTGGGCTTCAAGTGGGCCAGGCCTTTACCACCTTAGCTAACCATTGTCCTCTGCAGTCGGGCCCACCAGCACAAATCAAGCTTGCTCAAAAAGGGAAAAAACAGCCTATATTGAGCATGACGCTGGTGCTGCCTATACATGGCCAACCGGGCCGCACGGCACGGCACATGCACGAGTACGGACAGGCACGGCATTATGCGGCACGCCAGCTAGCCGTGTCGTGCCTGTTAGTGCCGCCGTCTTGGCCCAGGCACGGCACTATGGTCTCTGAGTCGTGCCGTGCCGACCCTGGCTCGACGCCGCGCCCAGCCACCGCCATCACCGCGCCAGGCTGCCGCCTCGTCGCATCGACTCCGTGTAGCCGTTGCCGATCCCGCGCCTAGGCTCGCCATAGATGCAGATCTGGCGCGGGCGCGCCCCTGGTCGAGCGCCGCCGCCGCGGGGACGCGCCCTCGGCTGAGCGCTGCCGTCGCGTTGCCGCGCCGTGGTCGCCGCGCCACTCTCCAACTCCCCCGCACCGAGGTTATCGTGACGCTGTGGGACAGGAGGAGGAGGCACAGTGGACAGCAGTGGTGGAGAGTCTGGGCATAGAACAGAGGAATCGAACACGGGGAGGAGGCTGCGAGATGGAGGAGGACGAGAGGATATTGGGGAGGAGGCCGTGGGGACTGGGCAGTATAGGGAAATTTGGAGTTAGGGTTTGGGGAGGTGATTATATACTCCAATCCATGGGCTGAAAATCTCTGAAATCATCCAATGGCTACAAACTATCGGGCTACAACGTGGCGGTCCAAAATTCGTGCCGTGCCCGTGCCGGCACTACGGGCCGAACCTGCGGCCCAGGCACGGCACTACCACAGGCCCGTGCCAGGCACGGACACGGTGGGAGCCGGGCCGGACCGTGCCTGGGCCGTGCTTCTTCGTGCCGTGCCTGGACCGGCCCATTGTGCCCGTGCCAGATGGCCAAATATAGCGCTGCCATAGGACATGAACCGACGCGACAACGTGCGAACCTCGCACGGGCGGCACCCAAGCGGGGGCAGGCGAGAACGACAGCATGATCAGGCCATGTCTGGCCGTTTGGGCCAAATTCCATTTAAATTTACATAAATTTTAATGACCAGTCAACACAAGTGGGTATCGGTCTGAATTTCTCTAATTTCGTCTATTTCGGTGAGCTCCAAATCTTTTTGCACAAAATAATTCCAAAACATTACGATGAGCTCCTATTTTTTTGCACAAAAGACTCCCAAAACCTTTTTTTTTTTTTTGCGAACAGACTCCCAAAACATTGACTAACACGCATTCCAAAACCCACACCCGTTGGCCGTCGGCCCGTCTCATCTTCGGCTTCGACTGGGACGGTATGCACACCTGAAACCTATGTATATAGACCAATTGGCAATTGCACGGACATGCATGCTGTCAACCTGTGACGGTCTCACAGCACAGGCAAGTGCAAAATTTCCTTTGCCCAGCCGCCTATCATCTACTCACTCATCATTCGCGATTCGCGAAGGCCGGTCGGGCCCATAAAAAAATGCACGCAACATGATCAGTTCATGTCCCAGCAGGATCGCGATCGACGTCGTTGATACGGCGGCAGGGTCATCGATCATGTGCCCTCTTGGATGGTGGTGATGGTGAGGTCGTTCGCGCTGCACGACGCGGACGCGGTGCCGTGCGACCGCGTCCTTACCTCCGACGACCCGTCGTCGCTGCTGCTGACCCTGAGCGAGAAGTGCGGCGGCCGCCTCGGATCGGGCAGCGACGCCGCCGCCGCACCGCCATCCCTGCTGGCCAGCATCGCCGTCACGTCGGCCATGGTGGGCCGGTCCGTGGCGCTGTCCTGCACGCACAGCAGCGCCACCTTGACGCACCGCATGATGGCCGCCACGTCGCTGCACTCGCCCAGCGTCGGGTCGATCAGCTCGAACGATCGCCCTTCCCTCCATAGCTGCCAGGCCTGTGCACGCAGTGCAAACCAACGAACACATCGTCGCACGTCATACATAATTCAGCCGCGTCAAGTTCTTGCATACCGTGTGTAGCAAGTGATCGAATTTGCAGTAGATGAGATGACGATACTCCGAGTACTTACGTATCCGAGCAGATTGATGAAGTCGCTGTATTGGTGGTGGCCACTGTTCCTCTTGCCGCTGACGATCTCCAGCAGCAGCACGCCGAAGCTGTACACGTCCGACTTGACCGAGAAGATGCCCTCGGAAGCGTACTCGGGGGCCATGTAGCCACTATATGATAAAAGTCAAAAAGAAATGTCAGTTGTTGCAGAAAAAACAGAACACCACTAGCGAAATGAACATTAGCGAATTGGAAAGTTGCACATGAAGGTCTCGTTGGTCTCTTACTATGTTCCGACGACCCTGTTGGTGTTGGCTTCCGTCATGTTGGATCCGAAGATCCTGGCCATGCCGAAGTCCGAGATCTTGGGGTTCAGGTCCTTGTCCAGCAAAATGTTGCTCGCCTTCAGGTCCCGGTGAATGATGCGCACCCGTGAGTGCTTGTGCAGGTAGAGCAGCCCCTGCACGATGCCCTCGATGATGCGCAGCCGCTTCTCCCAGTCCAGCAACGGCCCCCGCTGCTGGTCTGAACGCCAGGGTCGTCCGTCGTCAGACAAAACGTGCATGCTTGGACTTCGATTAAACTTATGTATGTAGCGTACCGCGTACGTACCAAAGATGAAGCCGTCGAGGCTGCGATTGGGCATGTACTCGTAGACGAGCATCTTCTCCTCGCCCTGGACGCAGCAGCCGACGAGGCGCACCAGGTTTGTGTGCTGCAGCTTAGCGATCAGCTGGATCTCGTTCTTGAACTCCTCCAGACCCTGCCCGGATTGCGCCGCCAGCCGCTTCACCGCGATCTCCGCGCCGTCCGCCAGCTTCCCCTGCAGCCGATCGAACTAGAGTCAGGCATGGCTTACTTGGCAAGCGCTAGGAACCTGAAATGATCGAAACGTCAGCTCGCCTTGTAGACGGGGCCGAAGCCGCCTTTGCCGAGCAGATTCTCGTCGGAGAAGTCGCCTGTCGCGGCGGCCAGCTCGGCGAAGTCGTACAGCGTGAACTCCGAGCTGCTCTCCTCGATCCGCCATAGCTTCAGCGCCTCCTCCGCCTTGGAGCTGTTTCTCGAATGTGTCTGCGTCGTCGGCAGCCTCGTCTTTCCTGGATCATTGCAGGCAGGTTTCCGGCCGGCTCAGTTTTAATTACGCCTTTAACGTAACATTACACTTTTCTGACATACTAGCTAGAATGTAAGTACTTTTGTCCATACGGGCTCGTTTTCTTTGTGCTCTGACGAGGAGAAGGCCGGCAACCAGCAAGCCACAGACAAGAGCGATTGGCACGACAAGAGCGATGACCACGACCTTTTTGTGGTTGCTTGCTGCATCGTCATTTTCACAAGGAAAAAAGTAATAAGAAACGATAATAATGCAGTTCGCTGGAACCACTAGTAAGTCTACGACTGAATAAATAACAAACATGTAAATATAGGGCAATGCTTTGCTAGTTGGCAAAATACATGTTTACCTACCATCGGTTCCATTATCCTCCGGCGAGGACGACGACGGGCCACCGTGCAGCCCGATCCTGACGTCTGGCGTGCCCTGGTAGAACTGGTACCCCTCATACCGGAATCCGCACCGGACGCCGGAGATGCGTCCGCCCTCGCGTCCGTCGTACCACTGGCGGTTGAGCTCCCCGAGCCCCTGGAAGCAGTGCCAGCACTGCGCGGGCGCGAGGTCCGGGGTGCACTGCGCGAGGCCGTACACGGTGGGCAGCCCCGCGTTGATGAACATGACGGCGGTGGCGAGCCGCCGGTGCCGCGACGAGTTGTAGGCCCCGTACATGGACATCTCGCCGAACAGCGTGCCCACCAGGGACAGGAAGAAGCTCCGGCTCGTGGCGTTGCCGGGGTCCCACCCCGGGTACGTCGACGCGTTCGCGTCCATGCCGTTCACGACGGGGGAGTTGTCGACGCCGTCGGCGGTGAGCCGCAGGAAGTCGCCGCCGGAGTAGCGCGCCGTGCACAGGTCGGCGTAGAACGTGGCGTCGCGGTCGACCCCGCAGAGGCGGCGCAGCTGGGCGAAGGCGTCGGCGAGGCAGGCCCGGCAGGCGCGCGCGTCTGTCATGTCACCGCGGCACAGCGCGAGGCCGTACGCGGTGTCGGTGTTGGAGGCGGACCCGGTGACTGATGCTGACGCGAAGAGCGATGGGGAGGCGGAGGCGTTGCCGGGAAGCTCGGCGATGAGGCGGTCCAGGTTGGCGGCGAACGCGCTGCCGGAGGTGAAGTTGCCCGTGGTGCCATTGCACGTGTACTCCGCGTACTCGGCGGCGGCTCTGTGCGACGGCGGCGCGGAGAGTAGCTGGAGGAGGAGGAAGAGGAGGCAGGGGGAGAGGACGGGGACGGCCATGCCGAGCGAGCCCCAGCTCTCGCCTTTTGCAATGGGAAAGCGCGCGCGCGCGAGAGAGAGAGAGAGGACTTAATACTTGTTGTAGTTTAGAACTTTTGATGCGATGCTTTTCTTGCGTAAGCAAGCAGAATATGTTGTGTGGGTGAAGTCAAAGGCCGGGGGTAGTAGAATAGAAATGTATGCGGGGGGCGGGGTTGTTGGGCAGTCAGGATGAATATGATGGATTAGTTGCTCGTAGTTGTGCCGTGATTGACGACTACCTGTGGTGCGAGCGTGTGTCGGGGAAGCATCCGTTGCTAGCTGGTCCACCCGCCGTCCACGGCACAAAAAGTAAAAATAAAATGTATGTGCCTTTTACTCCTGGGACGTACGTGCATACGTACGTACGTACGTTCGTCGCAGTCTTAGGTCGTCGCATTTTGTACATGAATGGACGCACACGCAACGAAGTTTCAGAGCTCTCAGATCAGACAGTACAGTCAGCGTACTATGTCCAAACGGCTGTAGCACGCCGTAGTGTATGTCAAAACTGCCGTACATGGTGTGCGACTTTGCTGTAGAATCGGACATCGGAGTGTTCTCCAAGGACACGGTTACATAAACGGAGCAACAAAGCGCTAGGGCCCAGGGAGTTTCAGCAATCAGTACACGGAGTAGAGTACGTAGCAACAACGAAAGTTGCGCAAGCCTACATACCGTCTGTACCTGTTGTACCTGTACGGCACTGCACTGTTCTTTATCTCTAAGGGTCCCCTCAAAAAAAAAAGGTTTTATTAGCGCCTGTACGTTTGATCAGGAACGGTCACCTGGAACAATTTTCAGCCAGATTAATCGTCAAATTTGTATAGCTTTCATCAGTTGAAATAATTTCTGGGCTCAATCCACCTTAACCGAACAAGCCTTTAATAGGAATATTTTCTGGTGTGATACTTTCTTAAACGAACGGGCCCTAAGCTGATTACGAGATTACGAGACGATGACGGTGCCATTTCAGGAGCACGAAAAAAGCGAGCAGTAGTTTTCTGAAGCAGATTTCGTTACCAGCAAGTAAAATCAAGAGCTCACACGCAGGTCTGCAAGATTGGGAGGGTCTTCGATTCAAATGTGGAAAAAATCAGGACTCAACTTAATCATGTAAATTTCGAACCAGAATTTTCTTGTTTTGACCAGATAAACTGTTCACGTTTAGCTAATATTAACTGAAATTTTGCCAAAATTTGATTGAAAGGCACAAAGAGGAAACAATGGATTGTGAATTGATAAGTTTGCATTTTTTTTATCGTGAAAGCGGCAGGTGCTCTGCCTTTGCATTAAGTGGAAGATAAGTTTGCATTTAAGTATGGAAGAACTTGTGGAATCAAATATAGGTTTGTTTGAACTCTAGAATTCTAATTCACTCAAAATTGTGATCGATACGACGATGTTTTAGGCCTCACCGAGATGGATGGGTCTTTGTCAAATTTAATCGTTTCAGATGGAATCCCATAACCCTACCGGCTACCGCACAAGCGTTCTGCTGGCTGTTGCAGGTAACGCATCGTGTGTGAACGCCAATAAACTTTTGCGAACCGGGAAAAGTCAACCAGGCGGTCAGCATCACTCCGCACCATGTTCGTTTGGCTGTGACTTGTCGTAAACGATCGTAAATTTTTAGCTAAAACAATATTTTTCTCTCACACAAACCAGCCAGCAGTACTTCTTTACGAACCAGCAACGAAACGAACCAGCCAACCGAACAGGCTGCAGTAGATGCCCATGGCCAGATGAAAGTCAATCCTCGTAGGGTTAGGTCAATGTTGGATTACGTTTCTATGGGCCCATCGGCAGTGCCTGGACTTTGACCCTACTGGTCCACTAAACTACTAGTAAATGCTTTGGCGGTTACATTGTAGAGCTGATTAATTGTATTAGTACAAAATTATCAAGGGACAAATTGCGGCTACATGACAATATTAGTACTTTAATATGATCGGAAGATAGGTCAGGTTTGGTAGAGTTCGTCGGCTTCAGCTTTTTAGTGCAATGTAGTAGGGGGTTATTTTTATCCCTCCTCCTAAAATGATATAGGATCTATCAAAGTTACTATTTTTTACTTTACTAGCTCCAGCTGCTCCATACATTGTAGAAAGGAGCCAGAATCATTTGAAACCTCACCAAATGGAGGCTTAATGTTTCACGGCTGTCCTTGCAGAACGAGTTGCCACCGTAGCCCCAAGGCACCATAAGCCATAAGCCCATAAACAGTGAACGTAGGGCTCGATGTCCAAACTGGTATAAATTCTAAGTCATTAAGCGCTAGCCACCCTAGGCCATAAGCACAACTATAAATTTACTGGTCCATGCTACGAAACGCCAACACTAGACATGTCAAGACACTTGTTTAGCTTTTCCAAAAAATAAAATCTTGATATTGTTTCCAACGCTCACACGTTGAACTACTGCTCGCCATCAATACATATCGTGTGGCCTCAGACGGGCAACCGATTGATTGACAATTTGAGAAAATGAGAAGCGAGTGGCAGCAACAGAAGAACGGCCTGTCGCCATCAATACATATCGTGTGGTACGGTGTATATTTAAGATGCTAGTGGTACGAGAAAAGAAATGGTCACCTTTCTGCATTAAGGGTGCAGTGGGCCTATCACTGTGGCCGATCTTTGACCCTATACAACGACACGTAAAATCACGTGCTATTTTGAGTAGCTGTGTTTGTAGAGTCTGTTTGATCCGTTAGTGCTAATAGTTTGCAATTAAAATTGATAATAGAGATCACCCAAAGCTGAGCCCTTCGCCGGAGCAAAAGAAGGTAGTGGCGCCGCTGCGGGGCCCTTCACCGGCGCGCGCTCGCCCAAAGCTGAGCACGTCGCCGTCGAGCGGCCTTGCGGTGGTGCCTTGAGCGCGTGCGGGGCGCAGCGGAACGCCGGCGAGCCGGCGCGGCTCGGGTGGATTTCGCGCGGTGGCGGTGTCACCTTCCCGCACGACGGTAGTGGCGACGGCGGTGAGAGAAACCCGGGTAGGTCCCCTCCCCTCTCCGTCCTTCTTCTAGGTTAGGGTTTAGGGTTAGGGTTCGGGGTCGAACCCTCTGTTCATCTGTTGTTCTACTTTTCTACCCCGATCTACAATCACACTTGGATAACCTGGCTATGGTACCAATGTTGCGTCATAGTACCTCTAAAACATAGATCAGGGAATAATCTAGACTTGGATGGAAGACGTGTTCCTGTGCCTCGCCCTAGCACAATTAGGTCCATAGCGCCGCAGCAACGTGGACGACGGTGTCGTTGCAGCGTAGGCGCGGTGGTGGCGATGCGGATGCGACGGTGGAGTCGGTGGCGGCTTCCCGTTGCTGGCAGCACGTTATCTTTAGATTGGATTAGGATTTCTCTGTAGGTAGGTCACGGCGGCTCAGGTCAACCTCGTAGATAGAGCCCTGACCCCCACCTCCCTTTATGATGCTGTGTGACGGGGGCCCACCAACCATGGAATGGTTGGACGCCCCCGATCAGGACGAGCCTACTCTAAGATAAGCATGTAGTACATGCTGATGCAAACTTCACATATTTTAATTAAGTCCTCCACCCAATACGTCACATATTTCATTCAAACACATTTATTTTAACTTCAACACGTCACATATGGAGAACAAATGTTGTGGAGTGTATATGTTTCATTTAGATGCATATATGCAAGCTCCATGCATCTACAAAGTTGTAGCATGGCGTAAGCAAAATTTGTATATTTTTCCTTGTTGGATCTTGGGTTTTGACTAACATTGTCGACATTGGATATCTGAACTATTGTACCTAGACCATTGCATTGAAAAATTAGACTTGTTTTGTTGCCACTTCTCTAATTACTATATCTCATAGCCTGCTTGGAAGTTTCCTTAACTAATCATCTATCTCATATAACTTCCAGCTTTAAAAAACCACTGCAGCATTGTAAAAGTATCGATTACCTTTTGAATGAGTATCTATTTTTGCTCTCTGTGTCTTTTATCAAGTTATTAGTATAGACTAGTAGAGATGACTAGATGACCCAACTAAAATTTTATTTTATTTTAAATGTATCAGGAAAAAATCTATGCCAAACTCCAATTATCCTAGTTGTAGGATCATTATGTATTCAAATGAAATTTTCATCCGGTGACATGTGAAAACATCTATACATATGTTAAACCTTGTGAACAATTTATAAATAATTGGATGTATCATACCAACATTGGATGTAGCTTATTCGGAACCAAAACATGCAAAAATATAATTGGGACATGATTTGGTTTAGAAACAAAAAACTGGTACTTTTACACATACTCCCATTCCTATGTGCAGATCAATTATTGGTAAACCCCAGGGATAAATTGGTAATTTAAAACTTTCCAATCGCATATATAGCAACTTCCAAAATAACTCTTGAAATATAAAAAATATTATTTCTTAGAAAAGATGTAGAAAATAATAAATATGTATAAGTGCACCATGTGTACACTGAAATGTCTAATGCCAGGGGAAAAGGAGAAGTTGTTCAATAAAATCAGCTACTACATCTGGTCTCTGAGGCCGGAGAGGCATTCCCGGCACTGTGCCGTCGTGAGATCCTGCGTGCACTGCGCGAGCGCGTACACGTTCATGTTCTCCGGCGGGAACCCGGCCTGGCCCGTGGCGTACCGGGCGCTCCTGTTGCTGGCGGCGTCGGACACCGCGTCCACGAGCCGCGTGACCAGGGCGTCGAAACGCGGCGGCGTTCCCGGCGGACACCTTGTTCATGTTCGAGGCGGCGCTCTCCGGCATGTTGGCGGCGCCCGCTCCGGCTCCGGCGAGGAAGTCCTGGTCGGAGAACCACGCTGCTGGGGCACCTGCTGGCCGCCTGCACGAACCCCTCCGCGAGGCAGTCGACGCACTGCTGGCCGAGGTAGTCGCCGCGGCAGAGCACGATCCCGTACGCCGCGCCAGGGCCCGCGGCGCCGAACCTCCCCGCCGAGAAGCCCGACGCCGAGGCGT